TTTAGTTGGACTTACAGTTCCACATGGCTGGGGAGGCTTCAGAATCATGGCAGGAGGTGAAAGGCACTTCTTACGTGGTGGAGGCAAGAGAAAATGAGGAAGCAGCAGAAGCGGAAACTCCTCATAAAACCATCAGGTCTCGTGAGACTTATTCACTACCACGAGAACAGCATGAGGGAAACCGCCCCCATGATTCAAATGATCTCCCTCCAGGTCCCTCCCACAACACATGGGAATTACGGAAATATAATTCAAGATGAGATTTGGGTGAGAACACAGAGTCAAACCATATCATTCTGCCCCTGGCTCCTCCAAATCTCATGTCCTCACATTTCAAAACCAATCATGCCTTCTCAACAGTCCCCCAAAGTCTTAACTCATTTCAGCATTAACCCAAAAGTACACAGTCCAAAGTCTCATCTGAAGGCGAGTCCCTTCCACCTATGAGCCTGTAAACTCAAAAGCAGGTTACTTACTTCCTAGATACTATGGGGGTACAGTTATTGGGTAAATACTATTCCAAATGGGAGAAATTGGCCAGAACAAAGGGGTTATAGGACCCATGCAAGTCCAAAATCCTGCAGGGCAGTCAAATTTTAAAGCTCCAAAATGATTTCCTTTGACCTCAGGTCTCACATCCAGGTCACGCTGATGCAAGAGGTGGGTTCCCATGGTCTTGGGCAGCACCGCCCCTGTGACTGCAGGGTATAGCCTCCCTCCTGGCTGCTTCCACAGGCCGGCACTGAGTGTCTGCAGCTTTTCCAGGGGCACAGTGCAATGTGTCAGTGGATCTACCATTCTGGGTCTGAAGGATGGTGGCCCTCTTGTCACAGCTCCACTAGGTGGTGTCCCAGTAGGGACACTGTGTGGGGGCTCCAACCACACATTTCCCTTCTGCACTGCCCTAGCAGAGGTTCTCCATGAGGGCCCTGCCCCTGCAGCAAACTTCTGCCTGGGAATCCAGGAGTTTCCATACATCTTCTGAAAACTAGGCAGAGGTTCCCAAACCCCAATTCCTGACTTCCCTACACCTACAGGCTCAAAACCACATGGGAGCTGCCAAGGCTTGGGACTTGCACCCTCTGAAGCCATGGCCTGAGATCTATGTCGGCCCCTTTCAGCCATGGCTGGAGCAGCTAGGATGCAGGGCACCAAGTCCCTAGACTGCACACAGCACAGGGACCCTGAGCCCTACCCACAAAACCATTTTTTCCTCCTAGGCCTCCAGGTCGGTGATGGGAGGGGCAGCTGCAAAGGTCTCTGACATCTGGAGATATTTTCCCTATTGCTTGGGATTAACATTCAGCTTCTCACGGGCTGGCACAGTGGCTCACGCCTGTAATCCCAGCACTTTGGGAGGTTGAGGCGGGTGAATCACGAGGTCAAGAGATCGAGACCATCCTGGTCAACATGGTGAAACCCCGTCTCTACTAAAAATACAAAAAAAATTAGCTGGGCATGGTGGTGCAGCCTGTAGTCCCAGCCACTCGGGAGGCTGAGGCAGGAGAATTGCTTGAACCCAGGAGGTGTAGGTTGTGGTGAGCTGGGATTGAGCCATTGCACTCAAGCCTGGGTAACAAGAGTGAAACTCTGTCTCAAGAAAAAAAAAAAAAAATCAGCTTCTCGTTACTTATGCAAATATCTGCAGCCAGCTTGAATTTCTTCTCAGAAAATGGGATTTTATTTTCTATCCCATTGTCAGGCTGCAAATTTCCTGAACTTCTATGTGCTGCTTCCCTTTTAAAACTGAATGCCTTCAGGCCAGGCATGGTGGCTTATGCCTGTAATCCCAGCACTTTGGGAGGCTGAGGTGGGTGGATCACCTGAGGTCAGGAGTTCAAGACCAGCCTGACCAACATGGAGAAACCCTGTCTCTACTAAAAATACAAAATGAGCTTGGCATGGTGGTGCATGCCTGTAATCCCAGCTACTTGGGAGGCCGAGGCAGGAGAATTGCTTGAACCCAGGAAGGCGCAGGTTATGGTTAGCCAAGATCATGCCATTGCACTCTAGCCTGGGCAACGACAGTAAAGCTCCATCTCAAAAAAAATAAAATAAAATGAAACTTTTTTGGCTGGGCGCCTTGGCTCACGCCTATAATCCCAGCACTTTGGGAGGCCAAGGTGGGTGAATCACAAGGTCAGGGGATGAAGACCGTCCTGATCAACATGGTGAAACCTCGTCTCTACTAAAACTACAGAAATTAGATGGGCAGGCTATGCGCAGTGGCTCTCACCTGTA